TACTCGGTGGTAAATTATTTATTTGAATGGTGTATGAGACTTGACATCACGGAAAGAAAATAAATAAATAAATAGCAACCATCATGGTAGGAGGGGCTATTATTATTGAAAAAAAAATTAAAATTGGTAGGAGGGGCTATGGTATCCCTCTTTCAATTGGTGGATCCGGATGGTCCAGCCTTTCACACGTGAACCCGCTCCTACCCGCAATCATGTTCACGTGAATTCATAAACTATCATCGCTACCTTTCCTTAGCTTATTTCTCAAATCACCATAAACTGGGAAATTTTGGCACTGGGGCCATATATATAACATAAATAATTATCTATGCATTAATGCAGGATGATGGCATTCAATTCACCAAAATTGTGGGCCTTTTATGGTTATCAGTAACTTGTAGATATCTCGATAGTCTGAGTTAGTGTTTTTGGTAGATTTTTGAATATTAAGTTCAATTATTTGTATTTAATAAATTTAACTTTTAACATTTGTTGTCTCGAAAAAAAAAAAAAAAAAAATTATTTCTAACTTATTATATGAGAAAATTTTAAATTGAACATAGGTTAGAAAACATTATGGGCCATTCTTTCATTATGTTCATACACTTTTTATTGTATGATTCAAACAATACCTAATTCAATGTAAATTTGATATGTAAATAAAATGTCTAAATAATTAAGAAAAAAGCTATAATTTGCAACTCTCAATCTCAGAGTTGATGAGTCGAAGTGGTCAAGTATAGAGTTGCTCATTTGATATGTTCTACAAGTTAATTAAATAAGGCATCGAATTCATTTTATTTCAGTCGAAGACGCTAGTCGATGCCTTGATGCTTGTGGTTCAAGGCATTGGCTAACCCCTTCGGTCTCAAAATTATTTTTCTTTTCCTTTATGTAAACCCCACATAAATGAGTTGAATGACCGTGATTAAGGTCACTTTGAAAAGTAGGTCATATTAGGCTTCAAAATATTATTTTGCTAAATTATTTCAAATTGTGTAGCACTTCAAAGATTAATTGTACAAAAATAACTTGAAGTACCTTAACTCTAAAAAATAATAAATTATTTGAGTGTCTTCTTTTTTTTTTTTTTTTAAGAGTAAGACATATTCGACTTTTTTATATGAGTAAAAATTACGTGACATATTTATCACTACTCTTAATTATTATAGTTTTATTTTATTCTATTTTTAAATTTTTTTTTATCAAAATATATATTATTTATTAAGCCAGTTCATTAAGGTCAGAATATATTGGTAACTGCATTGGGGATAAACTTTTTATAATTAAGTGGTAAAGTAGCTGCATTAACCATTTTAATTTGATAGGCATTAATCTATTGTTAGCCGATTTAAATTATATTCCACATCCTTTAATAATCCAGTTTTTGGATCTTGTATTCTCTTTAGTTTATATGATTTTTTACTCTCTATATAGAAATATTAGGAATTGAAAAAATAAATAAATGCATAAAATATGACAGATTTGTAGAATTGAGTTAAATAATCTGCTAAAGATGAATTGAATAACAGATTAACAGTCACTATATATAGATTGGTTTATTATATATTCTATATAATTATGCACATATTATTATATGGTGATGACCAAAAAATATTCAACCTTACTTCTAGATTGGAGCTGCTTGATGCCCATTCAAAATTTACAATTTTTGAAATTAAGCTTTTCAATGGCCACGAAATCTTTAGCTCGGAATGATCTCTCTTTTTAAAAAAAAAAAAAAAAAAATTATTAGAGGAATTATATATGCAGTGAAATGTAAAGAGAGGAGGAGATATTTGCACAGCACTTAAAAAAAAAAATTATTAGAGGAATGATATATGCAGTTAAATGTAGAGAGAGGAGATATTCGCAGTGCAGTTTTCAACATCTATATTACTATTTAGAAAGTGAAGACATTTGTAATTTTAGCTTCACAAGTCAATGATCATGCTATTTTGAATTACATAACTACCCTTTTCATATATGATTGATCCCCAACTCTATCTCAAATCTTTAATGTTTTCTATATCTTGGATGGTATTCTCTCTCTTTTTTTTAAAAATATATACATACATATATATATATATATATATATATATATATATATATATTAGAGGAATGATATATGCAGTAAATGTAAAGGGAGGAGATATTCGCACGGCACTTTTCAACATCTGCACTACTATTTAAAAGGAGATGACATTTGTAATTTTAGCTTTACAAGTCAACAATTATGCTATTGTATTATCTTTTAAAAAAAAAAAAAAAATTATTAGGGGAATGATATTCTCAGTAAATGCAAAGGGAGGAGATATTCGCACGACGCTTTACACTTTTCAACGTCTACACTACTATTTAAAACGAGACTTTTCAACGTCTGCACTACTATTTAAAAGGAGGGGACATTTGTAATTTTAATTTCACAAGTCATTGATTATGCTATTTTCAATTACATAACTACCCTTTACATATATGGTAGATCCCCAGCTCTCTCTAATTTTTAATGTTTTATTTATCTCAGACAGTATTATCTCTCTTTTAAAATAAAATAAAATAAAATAAATATTAAAGGAATGATATATGCAGTAAATGTAAAAAGAAGAGATATTTTCAACGTCTGCACTGCAAGGAGATGACATTTGTAATTTTAACTTCACAAGTCAATGGTTATGCTATTTTGAATTACATAACTACCCTTTACATATGTGGTTGATCCCCAACTCTCTCTCAAATCTTCAATGTTTCATGTCTCTTCTAACCGGCCCAAAAAGAAAATTTATAAATAAATTATTTGATTTGGCAGGAATTATATATAAAAAAAAGTTACAATTATTGAATAAATTATTTCTTTTTATAGCATTTAAAAAACCTATATATATATATATATATATATATATATATATATATATATATATATCTCTGGTGAATAAACTACCTGTTTTGACACGACCCAAACAAAAGAAAAAAAAGTATAGCACATAAAAGAAGAAAAAATAAAAGACAAAAAATAAAAGAAGTACCTTTGTTGAATAAATTCTATTTTTGACAAGACCAAAAAAATAAAAAATAAATAAAACTGTATATGTGTTGAATAAATAATCTCTTTTAACCGGCCCAAGAAAACAAATACCAAAAAAATGATCCAAATTAATAAGTTATACTCTGTTAGATAAATTATCTCTTTTGACATGACAAAAGAAATTAAAAATAAAAAGTAAAAAAGGGAAGTAAATAAGGTAGAAAAAAGAAGAAGTTAAATTTATAGTATACATGATAGTTATGGTATTTTAAAATATAAAAATAATGCTTTAATGAGTTTATTGATTTTATTGTCATTTTCTCAAAGAAAAAAAAGAAAATAGATTGTAAGTATAAAAAAGTGAAGTGCAATGACACATCCCAGCTTAAAAGCTACAAAAATCATAGAATACCACTATCTCCTTCTATACATATCTTAACAATTTATAAAAATAAAATAAAAATTCATATTACGTTCCAGGAAAGAATAACACCTAACCTAATGACAAGAGCCATGTAATCTCCTTATTAAACATTTGAATTGAGAGATTTATAATATAAAAATTATATTTTGAGATTTACATAACATAGCTTACACTTTTAAAATATATATATATATATTATCAAAAAGATTACTTTGAAATATCCGCTGTAATTACCTTCAAAATCTAGACTTCACTTTTAGTGAGACTCAAACCAAAAACGCAAGGAGAATATTCTCAAAAGCCAAGTTGCTGGTGCATGCTACACAACTCTCTCTCATTAGACTTAGGTGTTGATTGATTACTCAATTTAGTGACGCTTATTCAATTAAGTGGGTTTGATATAACAATTTAAATATCACTAAAAACTTTGATATAATAATTTAAATATCACTAAAAACGGTAAGTGTCATTTAAAATGAAGTAAATTTTTAAGTGATAGGGTCATCACTAAATGCTCAATACTAAAAATTAAAAAATATATCAAAAGAATATTTATTTTTTAAGTACCACTTAAAATTCAGCTCTTAAAACATATTTATTAATATATATATTTTTATTTAAAAGCAATTATTTACATAAAAAACATGAAATTTTGTTTTGACAAGTAAAAATCATATACTCCCTTTATGCCAAAATAAGTATTCATCTTTCCATTTTTGTCGCCCTAGAATAAGTGTCCCATTAAAAAGTCAATGTACTATTTTTGTAATATTATTAATTTAACCTTCTTACATTGAATCTATAAAAAGTAAACCATCACATCACTGTGGACTCATTAGGGGTAAATTTAGTAATTCATTCACTACTAAGTACAAGAAAAAAAATAATAATAATCATTCTCTTAAAAAGTTAAATTTTAAAAAAGGGACACTTCTTTGGGCCGGAGAGAATATAAAAAATAAACTATAAAAAGAATAAACATTTGTAAGATTTTTTGTCCAAAGTTCAATAATTCCCACAATATATATATAAATATTTTTTGACACCAAACAGAAGCAATCACATAGAAGAAAGAAAATTACAATCAGAACGAAGGACATCCAATAACCACTTGGGCCATATGCTCTATTCCAAGTCACCATAAGCGGTTATAAGCGTCTTCATGCTCAAAATATGAGCTACAACCATTCCTCTCCGAGAACCCAAACCTGTAAAAATTTGGTATTCCATGTCTTGTCCTCTGAACCAGCACTGGTGGTACCTTATATCACATTAATAACATTAAAATCATGGTCAGCCTATTCACATTATAGTGCTAAATATATACACACACACACATTATACTATATGATACGTTAAACGCTATATAGATTATAATAAGAAAATGATACATGCCACTACATGAAGACAAAACTTGACATCCACAGGCCAACCTACCACCAAACTTTAAGGGCAGTAATGTATTATACTGTTATGTATATACCAGAATCCCCTAACATTTGGAGAAATATAGGAGTGTGCCCATATACATAATACATGGTATATTGTATATGAATGAATATATATACTGTAATGTGTATAACCGCTGAACAACAACGCCTCTATATCTCATCCGCTAAATTTGGCGGCACTAAACCCGCCATTCTCAAGATTTAGCACCAGATTTTCTCCTCTCGCTCTAGATTTCTTCAATCACTTCAAGATTTTCACATACCCATTTGCTAGGTTTCGTTGATTTCGGTCGTTGATGTAGCAATATGGAGAAGAGCTCTGGTACTTCGGCCTCTCTCTCTGACCTTTTGTGCCGAGAAGATCAATCTTTTTTGAATGAAAACCAAGACGACACAGAGTATATACTGAGTATGAACTCGAACCCATGTTCAATCTCTGAAGACGATGATGAGTATATACAGAGTTTGATTCGAAGAGAGACGAGTCCTGATTCAAGCAGCTATGTTTCTTCAGCAGTCTTTAGCCAGAGCTGGTTGAATCATGCCCGCTTAGATGCCATCAATTGGATTCTCAAAGTTCGTGTATATATATATATACACATATACATATATATTCATGTATTGTCTATATTTGCAGTGTTCTGTTCTGCATTTTTGTGGGTTTATTGTATTGTGTGTGTATACACTATGTTCTTCATTTTTGTGGGTTTTTATTGTATTGAATATTTATTGAATTGATGCAGTCAAGAGCATTCTTTGGGTTTCAATTCCGTACAGCTTATCTATCAGTGACATACTTTGATATGGTTCTTTCAAGGAGAACAATTCCTGTGAGCATCTCCTCTCTCTCTCTCTCTCACACACACACAAAGTGGGATTTGATAATTGTGTTCTTGGTGTGATTTGGGGATGTTCTTTTGGTGTTTGATAGAATGGGAAAACACACACAAAATGGGATTTTCATAATTGTATTAAATTTACACTTTGTTCCTTTGGTGTTTGATAGAATGGAAAATTATGGGCAATTCAATTACTCTCAGTGGCATGTTTGTCCTTGGCTGCAAAGATAGAGGAGAACCGAGCACCGGCATTGTCGGAATATCTTGTAGATGAGTACAGTTTTGAGAGCTCTGGGATTCAGCAAACTGAGTTGTTGGTTTTGTATACATTGAAATGGAAAATGAGTTCAATGATCACTCCTTTCGCTTACCTCCACTATTTTTTCGCCAAGTTTGTCGGTGAGTCCTGGCCAAAAGAGTTGGTTTCTAGAGCTAATGAATTCATTTGGGTAATTGCAAAAGGTATTATTTAAACAATACTAAAGACTGATTTCAATTTGGATTTTGAATTTGTTGTGTTTTGTTTATTGATTGTGAAAATTTCGAATTCTTGGATACAGATATTAGCTTGGTGGATAATCAACCATCTGTTATTGCTGCAGCAGCAGTCTTGGCAGCTTATGATGGTCAATTGACAAAAGAGAGAATGGAGATAAAGATTGGTTTGATACCATCATGGGGGTCTCAAGAAAAAGTGAGTTTTTTTCTTGCTATAATCATTCAAGTTCAGTACTTTGATAGTTGAAGAACATGTCTAGTTTTAAAATTGTGTTCATTGCATTGCATTGCTTTTTCAACAGGAACATATAGTTTCTTGTTATAAATCAGTGATTTCCCCAAATTTATTGCCAACCCATTCAAGCTCTACTGATGTACTTGAAAACTCTACAATCACCTCTGCTGCTGACACTAAGCGACGACGAATACAGTGAATCTCTGATCAACATATCCCTTCACAAAAAAAAAAAAAAAAAATGAAAAAGAAAAGTAGTCATCATCAACCATAGTTAGTGGAATTGATCTTTCTGTGAAGATTTTGGGTGTATTTTGATTGGATTAGACCATTTTTTTTAGTGAAAGATGATTCTTGTTAGTAGATTGATTATAGGTTTAGTGAAGTCATTTACCAAAAGATGGTATGACTTGGAGAGTTGGAGGTGAATAGGTGATTAGGGGGTTCCATTTTCCAATAACCACAAAAAGTTTGAGCTAGTGACGACAACCAAAGCAGATAGTGAAAACTGAAAAGGGGGAAATAAATAAATAAAGGACATCATAGCTTTAACCCACAGTGAGAGAGAACTAAGAGAAGCTGACCAAAAGTCCAAAAGCCATTTAAGAAGGAATGAAGTGAGAGTCCACAGAAGGCTATTGAATTGAAGACTGTTTGTTGATAGTCACTGAATGCTACTATTGCTTGCTTTCCACCCTTTTTTTTTTTTTTTTTTTTGAGTTTTGTTGTATTTCTTTTATTTTCTTCTTTCTTATGCCATAATAGGGGACATGTATGTGTATAGAAGCATATCTTGCAACTCTCTATCTTTTTGATGGGGTGGCTTGGGATGCCTCCTCTTGTCTTTCAAAAAGGCTGAAAGCCATGAGGGAATGAAGAGTTGTTTTTGTTGGATTTGATGTATCCGTGTTGCATTTGGGCCATCAACAAGTATGAAAAAGGTGAATGTGATTTGATATGTCTGAATGTTTGTGGTTGCTTTTTGGTTGATGGGGCTTAGCTTCTCTTGTTAGCACTGTGTTTGGGGCCATGAAACCCCCCAAAAATGCATTTTGGGAATCAAATAGTAGGGTCCTTTGTGGGATTATAGTGCTTGATTGAACTTCAAATGTTTGATTAGAAAGTTTACCAAATTGAATTGCAGAAAAATAATGCAAAAGTTGCCTTGAGGTGTAGTTTCAAGCAACTTCATCCAAGAATGACTTCTGATTGAACTTTTCTATATATATATATATATATATTATTTTTTAAAGTTCAAGCAAATGCATACAGTTCCTACAATATTACCTCTAACAAGGCTCGAATACTAATGCCCATTGCATAGTTGAGCTATGTTTTGACTTCATATTTTTCCTAATTTATTGCAGATAATTGAATTGGATCATTTATACATTCATATTTCAAGATATTTTTTTTGGGCTCATTTTTGTGCTTATATTGTAACTCTTATAGGACCTTCACTTAGTCACCCTTGAGATAAATATCTAGAAGAGGCCATCAAACATCATTGTATGGCAATTGGAAGCCCTTCTTGGTTTTATTTATTTGACAGTTATGGTTCCATAATTCACCCGTAGGACACATGCAGTCTTTCCGGTTCTACATACATTGGGCAATTATCAAAAAAATTCTATGTCAGACTCCTAAATTTGCTTTGATTATTAAAGCTTGCAGTCTCCTGTTCCACCTGTTCCGAACAATTATCAAAAAAAATTCCTATGTCAAGGCCCCTTGAATTTGTTTTGATTAGAATATATAGTTTCCCGTCCCACGTGCACGGAGCAATTACTGAGCCTCTTGAATATGCTTTCAAATGCACTCAAAAAGCTAGTATTGTTTTCAGAAGAAACACATGAATGTTGGGATAGGTTCCCCTCCACTTTCATTGATGAATGAGTGTGGGGTCCAAGGCTCTCACCCTCTTGAAGGGAGTGGGGTTCATTGATTCATGGCAAATTTGGTGTCAGAGGCTCCATCCCCACATGCCTCGTAGAGCTCTCAAGATTTCCAGTCTGTCAAATGTGTACAACATTGTTTTTTAGTTTACAAATGCTACTAACATGCTCTCACTCAAAAACACTCTTCTTCTTGTAAAGTTGTAAATGCCTCCTCTGCAAGACTTAGACCACACAGTTCTGTGTGCTCCAGTAGGTTGGAATGCATGCACATATATATATATATATACATACATATAGATATATGCGACTTACCAGTCAAAATCACAATGTTAAAGAGTGCAGGTGATTTTGGCTTACATCACCAACATGGTAAGAAGTATGCTTTGTATACTATCTGACTTTGTTGATGTAAGTAAAAAAAAGTATTTACTGTTGATTTTGTTAAAAAGTCCAGTTGGAATTGCTTTTAAATCTGTTTTCATTTTTAAAAATTGTTTAGATGTTTATTGTAAATTACTTGTTACCATTTTTGTTAAGAAGAGCTTTTAAATGAAATTAGACACGATCCATTAAAGGGTTAAGTGAAAGCAGCCTCCGCTGGAATTTTTTTATTTGCAAAATTATTTATAAATTTTTTAAAAATCTTAAAAATATCCCTAATCAATTTTTAATGATACCCCATTGTATATTATTATTGTTCAAAGCTGCCCCTCTCGTATAATTCTATAGGTCCACCACCGAATGAAGCCGCCCCTCTCAAACAATTTATTGATAAAAGTGGTTTTTTTTTTTTTTTTTTTTTTTTTTTTTTTTTTTTTTTCAAACAGTAATGTCAAATAGGCACATTGAGTAAAGAAAATAAAAACAATTTTCGACATTATTTTTCAAAATACCAAATTATCCTTCTTAAATCAAATAATTCTTTCAGTAAAGAAGTTCAATAAAAATAAGATTTAGTTATTATATTGTAACATATGACCAACTCAAGGTCAAATGTGAAATGTAATAGACAAGCTCATAATATCTTTCTGGCTATCTTTCTTTTTGTCTTTTTATTTTTACGTTCTTTACATTTTTTTAAGAAGTATAATTTGGTGAAAGAATTATTTTTTCTGAATTTCTTGAGTGAAAGAATTATTTGATTTAAAAAATGATAATTTTATAATTTTGAAATAAGAGCTTATAGGACATTTTGGATCAAAATAATGATCTCAAAGCATATGTAATTTATTTTTTTTAATTCAACCAAAGTGAAAAACAACTTCTAAAATAGACCCAACTGTTATTCAAGACTCCTAATTGGATTTATGTGTAGTTTTTTCTTATATTATCACATAAGTAAAAATTACATGTTAATATTTAATTAATTGGTAATATAATGTCAAAGGAGCCATCATATTATTATATTTATTATTATTTTTTCAAACTGAAAAAAAAAAAGAAAAAGACAAAAAAAAAAAGAAAAAAGGAAGGAATATTTCAACCCACATTCCTGTCCTCGAAATTCATCACATGCAAGTATGCGAGTTTAAGAGGTGGCAATTTACGAACACATACAAAACGTCATGCTATGAGAAGCCTAGGGGTTGGCATCGGGCTTGGGGGTAGGCCCAGCTAGCGACTCCCAAGACTTGGGCCGGCAACCCTAGATGGTTCGGCTGCAGGCCTAGTTCAATTGGGCCTCTCTGATCGGGCCTGATTTTGGTATTAAATCAGGTGTAATTTTGACTATTACAGATCTAATTGCATTTAGAGATGGCAATGGGACAGTTTGGGGACGGGAAATGTCATCCACATTCCCATTCCCGTTTTGAATAGTTACCCCTATCCCTACTCCAAAACCGTTTATTAAACGAGACTAGACGAGTTTTGTGGAGTATTTTTATAAATGTAATACGAACCTAGCAAAAGTAAATAATAAAACAAATTTTCAACTATTATAATAAAAAAAAAAATTTCACTTGTGCCAAAAAAAACACAAGATTCATAGAAACCTAAGACTAAAATTATTGTTGTGATATCAAAATAATACATTGAAGTTCTTAAATAAGAACAATACAAAAGAATTACCTTCTGGAAAAAAAGAACAATACAAAAGAATATTTAGTGATTGGAATATAATAAATTAGTATTTGCATATTATATACTTAATATTATTGAATATAAAATAAAATATAAGTACAAAATTGAAATTTATTACTCTAAATGACTGGGGTGGGGTGATTGTTTCCCATTCCCATATCATGATCATGCGGATTTTCAACCATAATTTTCATTCCCGCCCCAAAATAATTTAACCACCCTCCATAATCGTTCTAAATGAGTGGGATATTTTTCCATTCTTAGTTGCATCACTTTCTACTTTGAAAAAGGAGAAAGTATCATTATACTGCAATTTTCGATGGTGTATTAAAAAGACTGTATATCAAGAGGATCTCATTGTGTTATTGAACCAACTTTAGCAATCAAACACCAATTTATATTCATTTTAAAAACTACAAAGTTCAAAGCAAAACTACATTCTTTGATCTCGTGTCTCGTTTCTTCTTTTTCATAACTTATCTAATCTAAATGGGAGGGGAGTTGAATTCCCCTCTCTAATCATACGAGGGGAGCTCGAGCTTCGTTAGCAATGGCTTCTAATAATAGAGTCTTCTTACTAGTTAAAAAGTCACACACACGACATCCCTTACTATGTATATCTCACTCTCTTTTTTTTGTCATATCTTCTCTAGAGTGTTCTTGGAAGATTGGGATTTGGGGTGCACAAAAAATTAATAAAACATGTGAATTGGTTTGAGCTGAACCGAATCGCACCGTATGGACGGTATGGTTTGGTCCGAATTTATTACAATTCGATATGATTCTAAAAATAAAAAAGTTTGATTTTTGACTTAGGTCTATTAGGAACAAATCCAACCATTAATTATATATATTACATTAACGCTAAATCCTAAAATCCCAAATTGTTTTTCCGGCCACTTAGTTTTTAAACTGAAACTGTTGTTAAGAGTTGAACAAGTTTTTTATGATTCAGTTTGGTTAAGTTCCAAAATTAAAACAATCGGATTTCAATTCTAATTTTATAAGAATTATTGAGATTGGTTTGATTTTGCATTCCTTACTTTCATAACTGACTATTTTTTATTTTTAAATTTCTTCTATAATATGATCAAGGCCCAAATCACACAATTGAGAACAAGAACAACAAAATCTAAATTATACTAGGAGAGAGAGAGAGTTTAGAAGAATAGTGTGAAATAGATTAGATAGCAATTATAACATTTTCTCGATCATATATTCACTCTTTTTCAAATTAAATGTTTACCTTTTTATTTTTAGTTGTCTCAAAATAAATGTATTATTCAAAATCACGTAATATTATTTTTTGTAACATTATCAATTTAATCTTCTTGGATTAAATTTATAAAAAGAAATTCATCATGTGGGTCAAGTCATATAAAGCGGTAGCGAGAACAAATTCGAGAGCAGGAGCAGAAAAATTAAGTTATAAATAATGAGAATTTGAGTTAGAACACGCACACAAATAAAAAGAATAATGTGACTTAGGATCCACTATCAATATACATAATATTTAATAGTGATTGATTCATTACTAACATAATAAAAAAAATATTAAAACTCATTATTTTAAAAAGTTAAAATTTTAAAAAGGGATGTTTAATTCGAAATGGAGGGAGTATTTTTTAAAAATTTAATCTAAAATATTTTCAAACTTCTGGAAGGTCAGGTAATTTGTCCCTTTTTTTTATTTTCCATTTTTCTTTTATTACCATACAATTTGGTTTCGCTACATGTGGGCCATGTGGCCAACTCACAGCTTCCTTCCCCCTCCCTACACATCTACCGTTCGTTTCACCATAATCGACGGTAAGTCACAGCCCGTTATAACACCTGGCTTCTCGTTCAAGCCCGATTACATATTTTCGTGGTAGAAACCCTTATTTCCCCACCCCCGATAAACAGATTCATCTATTCCTCTCTCTAGTTTTCTCTCTCTAATTCTGGAAAAAAATGAACAAGGGACCTGGACTCTTCTCCGATATCGGCAAGAAAGCCAAAGGTAATCAATTAATCATACTTGTAGTTCATCGATTTTACTTCTCTTCATCAAATTCTTCATTGTAATACGTACGCATGTATATATATATATATATATATATATATATACACACACGCACATACGTGACTCTCGTAACATCTATGTATTGCTTTAAATGTAGATCTTCTGACAAAAGATTACGGCACGGACAAGAAATTCTCCATCTCAACTTACAGTGATGCCGGAGTGGTACGAATTGATTGCCTATGTGTTACTTGGTGTTCTCGTTCTTATTATGAACTGCATGATTCGATTTCATTGTTTAGTTGGTTACTTAGGGTTTTAGTGGATTGCATTGAATAATCTTTCTATGTTGTATTTTTCGCCCCCACTTTAGCTTTGTTTTAGCTCAAGGGATTGACAATGTGCTTAGGTCGTTTGCTGTTTTGGACTAGGGATTTATTTATTTATTTATTATTATTTTTGCTCTGGTATTGATCTGGAATAAATTCCTGAAGTGATCTGTGATTGAATTGGAGCTCAAATTATATTGTTTTTAAGATGGGGATGCTCTAATCTTATTCCGGAGCTATATTTATTTTATTTTATTATTATTTTTTTATTTATAAAGAATTTGTTTGAAGATTGTGTGTTCAGGTGAGCAGCCATATAAGTATGTATGTATTTATGATTGTAGTTAAGAAGCTTGCACAAGGACACATGACATGGAAACGACATGACACAGATACTTGTGAAAAAGTAAAATACGAACACGAGAGTAAACTTTATACTATATAAAAAAATTATACTGTACATGAAGAGTAATTTTTTATCTATGGACGCAGTATGAAATTTTGAACTTATTAATTATTTAATATTAAGCACTCCTTCGATAGAGTAAGACATAACAAGTTATGAGACAAATCTGCTTGTTGATATATATACGTGTGTATATATATATAAACATTTGTATATGTACAAAAAATTTGTTGAGTCCTCCCCTACTGCCATTTCCGCTACTTCAAGAGGACATTTCTTCTCTCTCTCTCTCTATTTTTTTTTTTTTTATATATATTATTTTTATTATGTTCAAGCTTTATATAAATTTTATATAAACCTTTGATTTGATTATATGTAGAATTGTACTTTGTTTCTATAATTATTGATCAGCGTTCATGGTTTATTGGTCACATGGTAATACATGTTTGAAGAAGCATCAGTCTAAATAAAAAATTTATTTTTAAATTATGGAGTATACACGTCCAAGATGTGTCTGGCACCTATGCATATTGTCTAATAAGTGAATAGAGTCTTAGAAATGTTCATGCTTCTTTACTTCTTAAAAAAACAAGGAAATGTTTGTGCTTCTTTGGTGTGTAGGAATTCTTATACATACATTTCTATCACTCTAGGTTATATGTGTGCTTTTTATGAAAATGGAAGCAATAAAACATAAAAGAAGTCTAGAACTTCCCACGTACCCCATCTTATGGCTTAGAGTTTTTTATTTTATTTTATTTTTTATGTTGTATTAATGTTTATGAAACATGTCTATAAATTTCTATTTCATCTCTACCTAATTTTTATTTTTATTTTATTTCTTTTTTGTTGTTGTCTTGTGTCAGCGTATGCTTTTGAATGCTGGATAATGTAGACTGGACCTGTTTTTCTTAAAGGAGAGAGTATAAGGTTGTAAATTCCATTCTCAAAATGATGGGGGAGTAACATTGGAAAAAAAAAGTCCATGACAAATATGAAATAAGCATATCAAAAACTTTAAAAGGCAACATGAAGACTTATATGCTTCTCCCATAAGTTATTGTGCATGTGCAGATATGATCTCAAGATTATGACATAACTAGATGATGCAAATTTACAAATGAAGCTTCTCTATCAATAGTTCAACTAGGTCATAAATTATATAAGTAACTTGAATTCGATTTGTTTATTAAAGTTGAAATAAAATAGGAGAAAATAGGCTTAGATGGTATGGTCATATTCAGTGTATTAGTACATGCATTGTTAAGAAAAGTTGACTAGTTAAAATATTAAACAAGAAACAAAGCTGTAGACAAAAACTAAAATTGGATAAATAATAAGGAAAAAAATTAAAAATTAAATTTAATATGAGACTCAACTTGTGGAGTATGATAGAAGAGTCTAAGAAATTGTTCATGTCCGAACCCATCCAATTTAGTTCAATGCAAGGATGATGATGATGATGACATTTAGAGTTCAGTAGACATACCAAAGAGCTTAATAATATATATACTGATTTTATCATCATAACTGCAGCTATGATGAACTTTTGGAAATTAACCACGATTTAAACTACCTAACAAATTTTTGAGGTTAAGAAACAGCGAAAGGCATTGAATCTTATACTTAACTTTTTTGTTTTCCTGAACTGCCTTAGCTGGGCAATGGTGTTGAAGTCTGAAGCAAATTCAAACAAATGTAAAGGGACATTATTATTTGTTGAGGAAAGAATTGATATTAGATTTGTTGAATTGTTTGTTGATATAGATCACTATTATTGCTTCTACTTCATCTTGTTTGAAACTAGTTATTTCAAATAAAAATAAAGCATTTTCCCAACATATTTTTCCATCACTATTATTGCTTCATCACTATTATTGCTTCTGCTACATGAATCATATTTTTCCATTCTGAGCTATCTAAGACCATAGCCTCAGTCAAATCACATGGTATCATATCTTTATTTGCCAACTCTATCATGTTAATTTTGGTCTTCCACTTCTCCTAGCACTATTCTCAATTTGAGCCATGTCATTCTTCCTTACTGGTACACCTAGTGGCCTTCTTTGCAACATGTCCAACGATTCTCTCATTTTATTTCTAATTGTTGCTACTTCAACCATCTAAAAAATGTGTTGATTTCTAGTTTTATTCTTTCTTGTATTGCCGCACAACCATCTAAACATTCGCATTTATGCTATATGTAGGGGAAGTTTCTTTTGAAAACGTGGTAAGCTTAAGCAGTGGGTCAAAACCATGAAGAAATGTGTTAAAACGGGAAGTTTTTGGGATGAAGTTTACGGAAAGAGTATATATTAAGGATGAGAATGAGGAAATAGTGATATTGATGGCTGGGATATCTCTGAAGTTCCATTTTTGTTGACTATCGGTTAAAAATTACAAGAGTGAAGAAAGCATTGCACGCAACACTAGATTGGACATATGAACTGAAAGTATATTTTGATTTGTTGTGTAATGTGTTATTTGCCTGTCAAAACGAAGGAAATACTTTATGGCTTGGGTTTAAAATTTTAAAATCAATGATGCTATGATTCATAGAATGTGTAGGCCCAATGATGTTGTTTTGAGATGAGATGTGAAGGTAGAAACACTTGAAGAAAAAAGGAACTTTGGTCTGACAACCTTTCCTTGAGAAGAAATCTTTCAGCCCTTACATTTTACTATTAAAATTATATTATAATTTATTTTCCTGTAGCATGGTAGTTTCGTTTGAAATTTTGCGTAATACAATATTTCCGTGTGGTGTTTGATATTCTTTACTTTCAAATTTTTTTGACTTGTGTGTTGCTGTAATTGTGGTGTTTTGAAATCATGTATACCTGTAGGATGTCTGCAAAAGAACGAAACAGTTGCAGCCTTCGCAGGGTTTTTCTTGCACTTATTGGTTTTAGTTTATTGCTTTGAAGAATGGTTTTGAGTAGGACGGCCTGGATTTTAATACAAAACCACCGGCATAAAGACAGTGATTGATCTTTGTTAATGTTCTCATCTATTTAAATGTGTTTAGTGGGTATCCCTCTAATTAGTTAAGTAGTTGTGCATGCTGTAAAAAATTGTGTGCAACATCATGGATATCTAAAAGGACCATCAATGCTTGCTTTGCAATGCTTTGTTTTCAAATTTCATCTACTGGCTGTGTTATAGTTGTTTCTTCCTCTTGATGTTCAGTTGTCATTTGAACTTTCATGTTAACAGGGAGAAACAATCCAATGTTAAACTGTAACCTTTTCATTTCTCTTTGGATTTCCTAGGCCTTTACATCAGCTGCAGTTAAGAAAGGAGGGTTCTCAACTGGCGATGTGGCAGCATTATACAAATACAACAACGCTGTACTTGATTTCAAAGTTGATACAGAATCAAATGTGCGTTGCTTGCTACCTTGGTCTTCAAATTTAAACTGAGAAACACTCCTCCTCAATGAGCATCAATCTGTTGTCTTCCTTGTTTTGGCAGATATCTGTGACTGCTACTTTCACTGACATTGTTCCCTCCACAAAGACTATTGCTTCGCTCAAGCTGCCCGATTACAATTCTGGCAAGGTACAAGTTTTAGGGTGCTTCTAAGCAAGGGAAGATTATCTGTTGATATAATTTTGATCTTCTAATTTTCTGAAGTCGCATTTGTTTTTTCAATGTGCAGGTGGAGGTTCAGTACTTCCATCACCATGCAACTTTCACCACAGCCATTGGTCTGAACCAAACCCCTGCTATTGATCTTTCAACCACCATTGGTACCCCAACAATCGTTTTTGGTGCAGAGGCTGGCTACGACACTGCTTCGGGTAAATTCACCAAGTATACTGCTGGCATTTCCGTGGAAAAACCAGACTCTTATGCTTCAATAATTTTGTAAGCCCTCATACTCACTATCAAGAATAATAGTGTTTTAGCAATAATAGCAACACTCATTTCACTCGAAACATTGAAAATAAAACACTTATATGTAGTTGTTTTTCCCCCTCAGAGCCGACAAAGGTGACACTATCAGGGTATCACATGTCCACTATCTAGATGAATTGAAGAGGAGTGCTACTGGGGGAGAGATAACTAGAAGGTTCTCCACGAATGATAACACATTCACCTTTGGAGGGTCATTTGCAGTTGATAATCTGACAGTGGTGAAAGCAAAGCTCAACAATCACGGAACGCTGGGTGCCCTCTTGCAGCACGAGCTCATGCCGAAATCAGTTCTTACCATCTCCAGTGAGTTTGACACCAAGGCCTTGGAGAAGACTCCCAGGTTAGGTTTGTCTCTTGCTCTGAGGCCTTGATGGTTTTTAATTGTCGGTCGGAGATGATACCTTGCGATTTTTTTTTGGCTATTGTGCCTGAATTGAAAGGAAGGGCTCAATAAGGAGTTCCATATAGGATTGTTAGGTTCTCAATGATACTGGATGCATTACTTGGATATGCAGGTCCTGCCATGTACACTATTTCTTTTATGTGCAGGTTTTTTTTGAGAGTTTTATTTATTTGTTTATTATTATTATTGAAAAATTAAACAAATACACACACTCATATTTATTTTCATTAGATTGGAACACACCCGATCTTTCCTTCGGGAAGGACGACTTGTACCAGCTGAGTTATTGTCCATTGGATTTATTGGAGAGTTGCCTACTGTGTATTTTTAATGTTATTTAGCCTTAAAAGAGTTGTGATACAGAGTTCGATTCCATTTATAAAACAAAATAAAATAAAAGGAAAAGGAGGAGGGGGAAGATAAATCCTCTAATTGACTTTAAACTATTTGGTTCGTTATTTAAAGAAGAAATAATAATAGAAATATATAGGGGGGAAAATTAGTGATATAAAACAAAAAATAGAAAAGAATAAAACATTAAAAAAATTCCAACTTGGTCATGAATGACTTTAGTGGCCAAACCCTTTCTTTTTGTTTGTAAATATATAGATTAACTTGGTCACAAAAAAGCGTACACAAGGAATACATGAAAAAAGACAAATTTTTTCGAAGGCATTTTATTTTATTTAAATAATCCAAATCTTATCATATTTTCCTTTTGATAAGAAATTTACACAATTTTGTTTTTACGAGAATTTGAACTTTGAAATTTCTAGGGGCTTTAAAATGTGAAAAATTACCAACTAGACATCATTTTGAAGAAATATAATAAAATTACCTCATGATTAATAATGTAAATATTTTTATATTTTGAGGATTAGTTTTGATTTTTTTATATTTATAGAAAAATTTATTGTCTTCTTAATGAAGTTAAAATCTTAAAAGGGATATATATATATATATATATATGTATATATATATATATATATATTGGGCTTTGCCTTTAGCTTAACGTCAACCCTAGCTTTTGTGTCCCTCTTTAGTCACCCATTATCATTTTTTTATTATTCACAAATGCTTCTGTCACAAAATTAGGTTCAAATCCCCGGGTCACATACAATTTAATTTGTACTCTCTCTATTAATATATATATATTCACCTTATATATATTAAATTGTATGTGACCCGGGGATTTGAACCTAATTTTGTGACAGAAGCATTTGTGAATAATAAAAAAAATGATAATGGGTAACTAAAGAGGGACCAAAAGCTAGGGTTGACGTTAAGCTAAAGGCAAAGCCCAACCCAAACCCTCCTATTTTGACTTTGTCATGTTTAGTTTCCCATTCGATAGATAGATAGATAGAAGCGTATACTACTACTACTCTCTCTCTCTCACACACACACACATCAAAACAAAGCATTAAAAACTCCGATCTCATCTCTCCCTTTCTAACCAGTCCACAATGAATTAGCCAAGCCTTCTCTCTTTTTTTCTACTACCATTTTTTACCCTTTTTGCTTCTTAGATTTTGACTAAGCCCTACTTTTTGGTTCGGTTTTCAAATTAAATGTTGACGGGATACCCAATTACCGGAATTAGTCAGAAATTGAGGAATTGTTTGATTTGTCATTCATAAAGCAGAAAATTATTTTTGAAGAAATCTTAAAACGGTCAAATCAAACAGTTTTTTTTTTTTTTTTTCAAAAAACAAAAAAGTATTCTCAAAAAACTAACCCCGAATCTCCCAATAAGAGACCAAGGGCATGGGTCCACACACATCCTTTCTGTTTGGGATTCAAAAACACAACATTCTTCACCTGGTATGGTTCCACACCCATGACCCATCCTTTCCCGTTAGATTAAAAAACCCAACGTTCTTCACCTTATATTCGGGGGTTTTGAATTCATAAAAAATTATAGTAAATTTTCTTAGATCCTAAATTCAAGGCGCTAATTTAATACTGATAATGATTTATATTAAATTTTCTTCAATCCCAAATTCAAAGCGCTGATTTGATACTCCTAAACACAACGTCAAAGATTTTAACACTCCAAATTTTTTTTTAAGGGCTAATATATTACTTTTGCCCATTTGGGTATGCGCCCTTATTCATACAGGATCCAGAATAAAGGATTGAACTTGAATGAAGCTTGGGTTAACCGGTTTCCGGTTTGGGATGTCGAACATAACGGATAAACAAACATAAAATATTTTTTCTTGGAAAGTATTTTCTTTTTCAGATAAAATATTATTATTATTATTATTTTATTTTTTTGGTGTTTGGCTGAGGTTTAGGTTAAGTTCATCGGGCTGGGGTGTGTAAAATAAGTAAGTTATTTTTGTTAGGTTTTAATATGTTTATTTTGTAAATATTTTACAACCAAAACATTAGAAAATAAAAAATATATATATTTTTATAGTTTACAACCAAAACACTAGAAAATGATAATTTTACAACGTGAGACATAGTAAAGATTAACTTGCTTTGTATTGTGGGAGAAATTTTTATACACTTTGTAAGATAAAAAGAAATAATTAGGAATAGTCAAAACTTAAAAAACTTTTAATAATTTTGAGAGGGGGCATATTTACAATTACCAAATAATATGAATACAAAATTAAAAAATAAAAAATAAAAAATTTAGTGGGGCAACTGCACCCACTGGGCCCTACTTTGGCTCCACCCTTGTTTGTATGTATGAAATATGAATCACAAGGATAATATGTCTAAGGCTTCCAAGCCGCTTTTAAGGAAAAATGAAACTTCAACACTTGTCTTAAAAAACATGAAAACCTATTATAAGGAGCAGAACCAAACCTTTTCTGTCATACTGTCCTTGTGATGATCACAACAAAAACTACAACACGTAGAGAGAGAGATTGAGAGAGAGAGAGAGAGAGAGCACCTGCCTTGGATTTGCGCGCGGGAGTCGAAGCTATGGAACCAAAGGGTGCAAGATTTGGGAGCTCCCTCCTTGTACCCTGTGTTCAAGAGCTGGCTAAGGAATCATTGGTCACAGTCCCATCCAGGTACGTGCGTGATGATCAAGATCCTCCTCTGATCACACCATGTACTGATTCTACACGCGACGTCCCAATCATCGACATGGAAAACTTGCTTAGTGGAGATCATATGGAGATGGAGTTGCAGAAGCTGGATTCTGCATGCAAAGAATGGGGTTTCTTCCAGGTGCAAGCTTTGTACCTGTACATATAAACTAAAATTAGTTCATTTACTGGAAAAGTTGAAAGTGAATTATTGATTCATTTGTCTTCTGCAAATTCAATCATTGCGACAAAAAAAGGTTCTATATTTGATCCATTGAAATTAAATTAAGGCTTCAACAACAGAGGAGTCATATAAAGAAGTATCAAAAAAGGCTTTTTTTTTTTTTTTAATTTTTTTTAAAGCGTTGACAAGTGAGAAAAATAAGTGTTGCAGGTGATAAACCATGGAGTGAGCAGTTCAACAGTGGAGAAATTAAAGGTTGAGGTTCAACAATTCTTCAACCTTCCGATCGAAGAGAAGAAGAAACTATGGCAGAAACCAGGAGAAGTTGAGGGATTTGGACAGGCCTTTGTTGTATCTGAGCAGCAGAAGCTCGACTGGGGAGACTTGTTTTTCTTGACTACTCTTCCCACCCATTTGAGGAAACCCCACTTGTTCCCCAAGCTTCCTCTCCCTCTCAGGTTTTCTACTCTCTCTCTCTCTCTCTCTCACCATTTATATATATATAGCATCATGATTCCTGTCATCGGATCGCGGGCCGGATCACGGTCAATTCGATCCAAATCCGATAAGCAAAATAAGCCGTCCGATCCGATAATTTGACGGATTGTTACATAGTCAATCCGAATCCGATACTCACTCTATCGGATATCCGATCCGATAAATCCGATCCGATTGTAAATTATATACCCTTTTGCAATTTACATAAACACAATCACGCAGAATGTGTTCTGTAATCCCAGACTAGTTAAGTAAGTTTCACGTTTTATAAGTAAAGCCGCAACTTTGACAAAAAGAACTAAAATCATCATCATAAACAGGAAGAGAGAGAGGAAAGATGCAAAATTAGGGTTTGTAATAGATAAAAGAATAGGAAAAATAGAAGAAAAAGGAGAGAGAATAAGTAGTAAGAAACTACTCCCATAGGTTTCGCCAGTCGATCGTTGGTTCCCCTTCCCCTTCTTGCTGTCGATCAAAGTCTCCCCCTTCACCTGAGTTTTCTGAAGTATACTGGAGTTCTTCTTGTGTCGTGAATTTACACAGGTTGTGGAGATTTACTCCTATGCAGATGAGAACACTGGTCTTATTGTACAATAAGGTTGTGATTACATCGGTACAAATCTGATGGTGTATATATATGATATATATATATATATATATATTTTATTTTAATCGAATCGAATCGGATCAACATCCGAATAATCGGATCGGAATCCAATCCATTGACAGGTCTTATTCATGAATAACCAAAGAAATACTAATAGCAATCTGCTTTATAGACATTTTTAGACAGGTAATAGCTAATTTTTATTCGCCTTTCCGAAGTCTTCATGCTTGTAATTTGAATCTAAACTTGAGGAATGTCTGAAAAAACAAAAAAAAAAACAATTTGCAAAGGTGAGAGAGTGATTAGAAAAACAGTTCTCAAGTCCACAGCCAGAGTTAGTTCTGATGCCTACTGAGTTTTAATTTCATGCAGAGATACCCTGGAAATTTATGCAGCTGAGTTGAAACAACTTGCAATGAAGATACTCGATTTCATAGCTAAAGCTCTAAAGATTGAGGCTGGGGATGTCCGAGAGTTGTTTGAAGAAGGGATGCAGTCAATGAGGATGAATTACTATCCACCATGTCCGCGTCCAGGGTTGGTTCTCGGCCTCACCCCTCACTCTGATGCTACTGGCCTCACCATCCTACTTCAAGTTAATGAAATGGAAGGTCTGCAAATAAAAAAAGATGGGATGTGGGTACCTGTCAAACCCTTACCTGGTGCCCTTGTCATCAACATTGGAGACATTTTGGAGGTAATGGTGACCATAACGTAATGGAAAATGCTGTTTTACATGAATGAATTATCATGATTCCTTATTATAATTTCTGTGACTGTCTACGAGTTTCATTCGATGATGGTCATCTACCTAATTTGAAAGTAAAGGTCAGCCAGTGACAGGATGATGTATTAACTTCATTGTTGAGAGGGAAACAACCCAGAGATAATGGCCACGAGTCATGATGGAACTAACTTAAGCTTCTAAAATCTTCAGATATTCAATCAAAATCAAATAAATTATAGGACAATTAAAAACTATAAATCCTATACAAATTATAGGGCATTTGCCAAGGAAATGCAGGATATGATGTCTAAAAGTGTAAAATGCTTCAACAGATCCTAGAATAAATGTTCTGGTATACCGTATATCGTGTTTTATATTCTGCTGCATTACCTTGTTTTGCAGATTGTGACCAATGGAGCTTACCGTAGCATCGAGCATCGTGCAACTGTAAACTCTGTGAAGGAGAGGCTCTCAATCGCCACATTTTATAACCCGAAATATGATGGAGAAATGGGTCCTGCGCCTAGTTTGATTACCCCACAAACTCCAGAGGCGTTCAAAAGAGTGGCAGTTGCAGATTACTTCAGAGGCCTCTTTGCTCGTGAGCTCAATGGGAAATCATACCTAGACGCGATGAGGATTAACAATGAAGAACGCAAGAGTAGCTGAAACTAGTACAGATAATGCTGCCGAAACCTATATTATCGTTTGATTGTTAAATAACAAGCTGTAAGGAGTTCTATAAACACATGAATGCCAGCCTTCAGTGTTTGCATTTTTGTATCTTCTGTTTTCCAGCATGTACACCAGCTTCAACCAATTCTCCACTTTTGGATCTCTACCAGCACTCCATGCAATGTTTTATTCAACGCACTAAACTATGTTTCTAACTATTCGTACACATGAAATCTACCATTTATTTTTCTTATCTAGTTGCAGAAATGTTAAAATTGGTGTGCTTTCATTCTACTACAACCAGAAACCTTTATCACTTCTCCCTCTGTCATCAAGATTCCTTCAACTTGAATAACAGTAGTGTTTACTAGAGAATTTCATTGTAATTGGGCATGACCAAATCATAGAAGGTCGGGCCAACTTGATCTTAATTGCACCCGTCAAGAGTCTAATGCTATGATTTTCCGTGTCTCTATTTTGCCAGCATATGGACTCTGCTATATTCTTTAATTGTAGTTAAAATTATCCCGCTAAATCAGGATGCAGATCAGTTAGCGGTCATGTCCTCAGATCAGGCTAGCATCAGACATGAAAAAAACTCATCTGCCAACTAATGTTTCTCCTTCAAACAAATGATAAAGACAACCATCAAATTAGGAGACCGTCAGAGCTTCCCAAAACGCCAACACATTCAGGCAACTGTGAAAATCACAGGCAAAATTTTACAAAATAGCTAGTCCTTTACCCAAAAATGTTGATTTGGGATATGCTACAAGGACAATGGCGTCTTCCCAATCCACACCTGAGTAATCAAGTTCATACTACTTCCAAAAGTACCTCCGAGTAACGCAAATTCCTTTCATTATAATGTAGGAAGAAAACACAATCCTTGCAGCAATTTGTCTCTGAACCTAGCGTATTCATGAACCCCAATGTTGTTGAGCGCATTGACCCTCAAATGTGACTTGAATTCAATCTTCGACCATGAGCAAGAGGTAACCACCATAACACTACCTCGTGAATTTTCTAACTAAACTAGAAATTAAATCAAAGTACATACTCTAATTTTAATCAATGAAATTTGCCAACCATTCTTAGCATAAAGATTATATCATCACATCCTAGCTATGTCACTATACAAGCCTGCCTCTTTGACCCTGTCATACCATATTTTGCTGTTTGGGTATGTGACATACCATATCCTGTTCCCGTTCCACGTTCAAGAGATTTCTGTATTCCTTTTATGTCAACTGCATTTATGAAAGCCATTTTCTCGGAGTTACAAGGGTGCAAACCAAGCAACGGGTAATGCAGGTGTAATGGCATACAGACAAGAGGAAAAAAAATGACACAGGAAAAAAAAAAAATTAAGTTGAAGGGCATGACGGTTGTTCAAGACAGTAAACACTGACATCAAGAATGAGAATTATATATATATATATATATATCAACTCTTTTTAGTTGATTGCAATTCGGGCTTCCATATCTACATCTCCAAAGGCTTACAACCTTACCTTACAAGGCATTTTATTCTATGCTGCTAATCGAGTCTAGCATCATCAAGCTTACATAAAATTTTTGAAATCAAATCCCTCACTCCATCCAGCCAACACTTGCATAACCAGCCATACATCCGAAAAATTCGGCAAAAAGCCAGAAATCTTAATGGGACCATACCCATTAAACCACATTAATCCTGTTGAGGATATTTTAATAAAAATCCTTATTTATTGTTGTTTATTAGTATTTTTTATTTGTTTGTTAATTCCTATAACTATTTCACCATTAACCCTTACAACTCAAGCATAATATACAAAATTCCCAACAAATCCTTCTCAAGTCGCCTTATTATGCTAAAGGAATTTGAAGATGCAAGAAAAATCCTCTCTCAATTTGGACAGAATAATTTTACACTTCCAGAAAATTTCCAACCCCTTTTTCCTCTCTTTTCAGTCTACTTATGGACTTCTATAATCAATTTGGATAGAATAATTTTACACTTCAAGAAAATTTCCAACCCCTTTTCCCTTTCTTTTCAGTCTACTTATAGACTTCTACAAACATTCTAGAAGCTTCCTAACTAACTCTTTATGCTGGGCTGATCCTTTAGGCTCATTATTGATATAGGCCCATTCTCTTTGCTCTGAGATTGAGCTTCCGAACTGAACCTCCGGTCTTTGGCCCAATAAGTGAGGATCTGATTGACTAGAGTGTTCCATTCAGACCTGTTTCCAGTTATCTGGGTCGTACTCGGCCCATGCTATTTTTGGTATCCTTATTTGCTCCCATAATCTCTCCCAAATTAATTAGGATGAGATTATTGAAGGGACCTAATCACGATGAGACTGCTCAAGGTGATTACGTGAGGAAGTGAATGGTTGGCTTAGAGACCCATGCTTTGGGATTTGAAGCATCATCATTGCCGTCGAACCACTTTCTCTTTAAAACCTCAAACCTCAAGCTCTTGACCTTACTTTGCCTTTGTCATCTCCACCTTCAAGCATCATCTCTCCAAGTCATCTTTGCCAATAACCAGTCTTCGCCGGTGAGCTTACCTTTACCTCTCCGGTGAACCCTTCCTTTGCAACTATCTGTTTCTCATTCCGCCATGGTGTATTGAGCAAATCCCCTCTCTAAGGTTAGGTTCGATTCTTTGTTGCTTTTCGAAAGCTTTATTCTTTATTTACTTTCCTTGAAATAAAGAGAATCTAAAATTGAGAATCACCTTTGCCATTATTATGGCTCCTGACTTAGAGGCTCTTCGCTCAAGGAACGAAATCCCTAACGACGTTTCCCTTAGGGTTTATTGTGACGGCCCTGGTTTTTAGGCCAATGCGTCAGTGATGAACTGAAATGATGATCTGATAACGGATCCAAAATGTGAAAGCGAAAATAGAAAACAAGACTCTAAGAAGTTAAAGTGACATTCCATAAGGTCGTGAAACTCAATGAGAACTGATGCGGAAGCAAAAGATCGAAAATATGACAAATAAGTCCCTAGGGGCAAAATAGTCATTTTACATGGAAATGACGTCCCTAGAATGTAAATTATTCTCTAGACACATCCACGACTTCCCGGAACTCAAAAGAAAGTAGCGGAAACGAATAATAAGAAAACCGGACAAAAATAGCCCCAAGGGCAAAATGGTCATTTTAAAAAATATAAAATCGGGTGCTACCGAGCACACCACTTGCAAGATAGCAAAAAATTAATCAAGTTAGACTCAAGAATCACTTGATTCGGAATCCGGATGGAAGAGAAAAGTCAAAAAAAAGTTTTAACGTCACCGCGGTCGTGAACAGTAACCTAGACAAAAATGCTGAAATCGTGTGCCATTTTGAGGCACTAAACGACATTTTATGGAAAAACACAAAGAAGAAACCCCCCTTAAAATAATTTTTTCAAGCTGGCCATGTCAAAAGAAAATTTTATTTATGACGTGAAATTCCCAAAATGCCCTTACAACAGACTTTTTCAAATAGTGCAGATGCGCACAGGAAATCAGATTTGACACGGGGTTTTCAGGACCAAGATGACATTTTCTGAAAAAATATGAAGAAGAAACCCCACCTAAAATCGAGTTTTCTACCCAACCACATGGAAGGAAACGAAAAAAACACATTGCAAAATTCCTAAAATGCCCCTAGATCAGAATTGGACAAGAGGGCAAAAGTTGCTACAGTAACTGTTCTGATCTGAGAGCAGAAACGAGCTATCAAACGATTTTTTCTGAAAAAACCCGAAAAAGAAACCCTCCCGAAATCAAATTTTATACCCAGCAACATGAGAAAAATATGAAAAAAACACACTGTGAAATAGCCAAAATGCCCCTCCAAGAAATCTAATCAAGAGGGCTAAAAAGCTGCTGAAATGCAAAACTGAAAGCTGAATTTTACGAGAGATTTCCGGTACCAAGACAACATTTTCTAGAAAAACACGAAGAAGTAACCCCCCCCTAAAATCACGTTTTCTAAGTGACCATGTGAAGATCAGAATTCATTTCTCGAAGGAAAATCCAAAAATGCCCTAAAATCAGATTATGCAAAAAATGTCAAAAGTAAATCCATAAAGTACTCATTTTGTGAGAAATGACTCTAAACTTGGAAACGATCATGCAAACAAACGTAACTTAGCTAATAGGACATACTACAATGGTCCACGGCTTAAAAATATCGCCGATGCAAAATCCGACCCCCCAACGGCCAAAAAGGCAAAAATGAACATAAAAGGGAAAATTTGAAAACAAAAATTATGAAATGGTTTCAAATTACCGTTCGGTCATTGGCCACACTTCATGCATATTAAGTAGGTCCTAATAAATATGCTCATGCACACTTTGCATCACCCGATTTTGAAATGAACCCTTAAATGTTTGAATTTTACTATTTTAGCCCAAAATGCAAAGTATGAAACTAAAATGCAAAAATGAAAACAAAATGGTGATTAGCCCTTGGCCACACCTCATACATATTAAATGAATGCTAGATAATGAATTTCATACCCGATGCATACTCCGGTGCAAAAATGTCATGCTAAAACCCTAATTTCTTATATATTCTCATTAAAGGCAAGATTTCAACATTTATGAATATACATGAACTTCAAATATGGTTTAGCCCTTAGCCTCATATCATATATATAAAATGAGAATCAAAAAGTGTGATTAGGCACACATTACAAGTTTAGAACTAAATATACATATTTGACAAATAAGGCTACAAATGGCTTTTCAAGCCAACCTTCACAAGAATGGAACCTTCAAGTCCACAAATCATTCAAGCATAACGAGAATCTCAACCTTGATTTCTGTAACTGAAAATTGTCCCCACTACGTAGGTGAATAACATAAAGCTATTCGTAGGAAATGAGCATGCATCGACCTAACGTTTTACAAAGTTATTACATTAACTTAAAACAATTCAAAAGGGTTATGCCACCTAATGTCTATGTCAAAGGTGAGACTCGGAGAGCATCCTAAGCTACCTTAAAACATTTATAGCATAAATTACATCATTCATGCAATTCAAACAACATAGAAGCATGCTATACAAAACAACAAGATATAGATCTTCAAAGCTATTGACTTAAAATCTAAAATGTGAAAACTACTAAAGTGGGTCATGCCACCTAACGTCTATGTTCCAAATGAATCTATAGGATCATTCCTAAGTTGGATTTGAACAATATAGCATAGATGTACTTAACAACATCAAAAACCTGCAATGATTCATTAGAAATCATAATGCCTAAAT